TATATATATATATATACGATAAGAATTTTGAAATCCGTCTTAATAGCGGATGAAGTTTATAAATGTCGTTTTTTTTTTTGGAGAGAGAGCGGATTTATGATTCAACGAGGAAGAATAGAAAAAGGGGCTCGAAACGAACGTATACGCGATATCATTCAACGCAAGATTAGGTTCGCGCGCAATTTACGACGACGATCTTATTCCTAGCCGAGCTTTCATATAAAAGCTTTTTCCTGTAAGCTGCGACACGGGATTTGGACTTTGGGGTTGAAGCATAAGAGGGGCAATGCGCGATCACACCGCGACGAATTAGTAATACCTATACAAGCGTCGACTTTGGCCGGGTTGCCTAGAGAATAATGTCACATCAATATCGCACCGAAACGATCGACATTTACCTTCAAGATTCTCATCGTGAAAAAAATCGTTCTTGATACTCGAAGAATTGTTATTTCGATGAATCAAAGCTATCTATAATTGAGATATTTGGAAGCAATAAACTCAAAGTAATTAAAACAAATTTCTTTTTTCTGTTTTCAGGTACCGAGATGACGCGCTCTGCTGGTCAGACAGGTAAGAAATTCATCATTGAGTCAATTTTCGCTTACACTCATCGACGCAAATTACCGAAAGCTTGCGATCTTTGCGAATATGTATTTATTCATTGACAAACGGGCGGCTTACGCGATGCGTCAGAGAGCGAGGGGGAAACCGATCTAGCTAATAATACAAAGCGAGGCTATGAAAAGGAGCGGCCTCAGAGGAGACCGAGGAGATATAAAAGATCTCGCTAGTGAGGTGATTGATACAGAGAGATCGACGTCGCGACGCAATTCCATTGTTCAAAGTGAGCGCTGCGGCGCGCACGCAGAAGCAACGAGCGAGGCATCGGAGTCTGGCACACGAGGTTCTTACCCACGGATATAAATCAACTCTCTCGAGTGACGAACGAATGTAGAGTCGGCACGTAGCCGCTTCATGGGCCGCCATGCGGCACCCGCAAAACGCACGAGAAACATCCGAAGCGATACTCGCGCCCCGTCGTTCGCCAAATTTACGCGGATGTCGAATGTCTTTCCTCCCCCCTCCCTTGGACGTTCCGAACGAGTGGCCGCGATTTTATAAAGAGCAACAAAATCAAATCAAACAGAAAGATCGAGAACATGAGTTACGATGGTGTTTACGATCCGTGTGGCTTATTCCGTAAAACGCGCATCCACCAACGGATCCATTATGCATAATCACGTGGCGCATAGGACAGTATAATTAACGACGACGAGCGAACGCGCGACACGCTCGTATCGCTGTAATTAACCGCGAGCGATTTCACGCTAATTGCAAACAACGGAACGACGATTAATGACACGCGGATCGTTATCAGGCCGCCGCCGCCGCCGTCGCCGCCGTCGTTGCGAAGGCACTTCTCCGTCACTCGCGAATCTTCGAGCCATCGCCCATTATCATGCCTCATGAAAAATCTCACGTCGCGGTATTTGAACACAGCGGTTCAAATTAATGAGGCGTCTCCGACACGTCGTACGTCATTGCGCGTCGTACGTTGCGGAAAAGATATCTCGAATAAATATTAGCGATCGAGTAAAATCTCGGGGAAAAATTATTCCAAATAGCACGCGACGATTGAGAGAAAGCGCGCCGTTTTCGCGTTTTGTACGACATAAATTATACCCAAAGTGATCATTAAGCAGGGGCGATTGATCGATAAGAAAAGGAGCAGCACGGATAAAAAGATGCATAAGGGTTATCTCGAAACTCGTCCGGAGCAGGTTGATAATTATTAAAGTATCGATTAAATGCTCCGTTCGCCTTGATTGATCAGCATTTATATCATGGGTACATCTACCTTGTCGGTTCCCTACAATTTTAAACCGGGTGCTCTCCCGTCCTCTCCCGGAGAGAGAGAGAGAGAGAGA